TTTTTATAATGATTCCATTAGAAATGAAACCCAGATGTCCCTAGTATTATAAATTATTTGATTTAAGTTTTATAGTAGTGACCATAAAAAGTATATACCACTAAATATATAATTATTTCATGTATTCTTAAATATATTTAGTGGGATTGAAGTTTCAATTATTACTCATAGCAAACTACAATGTATAAAGGTAGCAACTGTGCTTAAAAATAATTGCTGAATTTCACTTTGTTTTTAGTTTTTTAATGAGTAACCAAGAGATGAAGAAGTAAGGAGAGATTACATAAGGAAATTACTGACTGCCACTCAAAAGTATTATTAGAATATCACAGAGTAATCCAGAAATGCCCATCTAGGACTCCACCATGATATATAAGATAGTTCGATGTTCTGGAAGGTTCACAGGATTAGAAGTCATAAACGAGAATGGATTTCACTTTCACCACAGAGATCAATCTCTCTTTAGAAGACACTGGAAGTTCATTTTATCAAGATAAAAATAAAATAAAATAAATATACACTCAGTAAGTCTGGTAACCAAATAATGGCAGAATTGATGCAATTTGCATGGGACAAATTCTGCAGTTCCTTATGAAACATGAATAAAATGGAGCATTAATAACGAGTAAAAATTTAAACGTTAGACTAAATATTGAAAACTAAGATTTTGTCATCTGAAGTTTCACAGGTTTTGCTTGGTTTCTATATTTTGTGCAAAGAACATATGGATAGCCTTATTTAGTGCACAGAATAAATTTTGTCAAGCAAAAAGAGCTTTTCAATGCTATGCATTTTAACCAAAAAGAGCTTCATATATTGTCTGTCCTGCAGTAATGTATCTCTTTTCTCTTTTTTATTTATTCTGACTCAAAGAGAAATGACCAATTGTTTTACTTACTGCTGCTAAACAATCATTATGAAATTGAACTATATAATAGTAAGTGTAATTTGCACATAGTCCTCAAATAATGGTAAGAAATCTAGAAGTCTCTGAAGTTCTGTGAGCCGCTCTTTAAGAAACAATATATGAACTGGGATGAGTTGTGAAAAAGCTTCATTCATTATCTAAATTTGGATCCTGATTGACAGCATGCTATATTAATTTTAGAAAATTCCTTTTGTCTATCACAGTGCCAGATATATCTCACTCTGTATCCTGGTAGAACCTACGAAAATAATAGCGTCACAGCAGAGGGTTTTGAGCAATGCAGAATTTATCTTAATAGAGTAGGAGAAATATAGAAAGTATTTTAATATATATGTATTTCTGGGCAAAGATGTTTATGAGGTAAGACTGTGCTCCTGCATTTTAAGAGAAATCATTGGTTTTCTAAAGAGTATGACTCATATTCCAAGCATTCATATGCTGTCAGCGATACTATACCTTTAAGTTCCTTGTTAAAACATGCAAGATGAAGCAACCAATCTTCCTGCTTTAGAGTGCTTTATTTGCTCACATTTATTTAAGTCTTCTGTTATCTAAATACCTTGAAGATTACCCCAGAAGGATAATAGATGGAGTACATTCTTCTGCCTTGGTCAGTATTTACCTTGAAAAGTTTGGAAACTCTGATGCTACCTTTTCACATGTTTGTCGTGCTTCAGTAAATGCTATTACAAAGTGCTTTATTTCTTTTCACCCCTTCTAGTGTCCTTTTCTAGCATATCTTCATTCATAATTTTAGTCTGCTGATAAAACAATATCCACATTTTTTGATTCTCAGATCATAATGCTAAATGTAATCATGGAATGAATAGCAATATTTTTTCTTTCTTGAAAAATAGCTGATCATTGCTTCATGTTTAAATAACCCATGTCTAACATTAGAAAAAATGATATTTGATTCCAGAATGTTTGGAACATTAGAGAAAGTTATTAAAATTATACAAGACCTATGTGTCTGACCTATACCAAATTCTTCTAACGTTTTGCCAAAGCATGTACATCTGCACAAGTGGTGAATAATTTGAGAGAATTTTATCACAGTCAGATGCCAAGATCTGATTCCCAAAAGGAAAGGTGAACAATCTTCTAAAACATGGTTGATATTTTAATAGGCAAGCTGCATACCAGGAATAATTCACACACACACACACACACACACACACACACACACACACACACACACTACATATATCTTACAAACTAAAGTCAGCTAGACTATCATAACATTAAAATCTGCCTAAAACTCTCAAATTATATCATTTGAAACCTCAAAGCCTTCAGTGCATTGTTTATAAGATTGTAAAATTAAGTGAAAATTAAAGAGGAAATAATTAATCATTATAAATTTGTTATC